GATAGCTGATTAGCTGCTGGACACTGTAAATGTATAAACACGTGGTCAATCGCCATAGCAACTATCTAATCTGTTTCCATGGAAATTCTAACTAGCAATAGCATTCGCGAAAATTAGTCGTCCTACGGTAGTTAGACGATCCAATGCCATACAGACAAACACACGTTCCCCGCCTCAGTGGGGCTCGCTCAGGCTCGCCCCAAATACAAAAGAGAAAATAAGAAAAAGGAATTTATTAGAAAAGACACTGAATGATAATCATGATTTTGAATTTGATACTTAGAATTTTAATTAATTAATTAGGCTTGAAGTTCTAAGTGAAATGAGAATCATATTGTAACAATTATCATTCAGTGTCTTTTCTAAGTAATAAATTCCTTTTTCTTATTTTCTCTCTTGTATTATAATGTAAGGTGGTTGTACTCTTGATGTGTGTACTAGAGACAGTCAGTGGATAAGAGAAGAGTGGGTGTGTCTCATTGTTACAATTCAGTCTCTACTCATCTGGTAATGAGGTCATAGACCATTAGGTTAATTAAATATTCTGTATACCGTTCTCAGCCTCTCCTCTTCAGTAAACTATTTATTATCAAAACTGTTTATGGACAAGTGCATATGTTTAGTTTATACATATGTTCAAGATTAGAGAAAGTGGAGTTGTACATGTACATGAATGTAGAGGAGGCAAAGAACTTGTTAAAATGAATAACCAGTAAATAACAACTAACAAAGATACAAAACAACAACAACAACAACAACAATAATAATAATATAATATATAATACAGATATCAGTTTGGGCTCTCAATGATTAGTGAGTCTATTGATGATGGAATGAGAATGGATTCATTATCGTCTGCTGAAACCACACCCTATCCATTAATGAATAATTAACGGTAATGAATATTAATTACCTCATTATCTTCGTTCCATTCTCTATACAGTCCATTCAGATACTTTGATGATCTAATAAAACAAAATAAACAAAATTATTTCATTTAGTTAATAATTAACGTCACACTATACATGTACATGTACATTATGTTCATTTTAAATTAATTTACCATGCAGCCCCTATACAACAGTCTTAAGCCTTTAAGCCTGCATGCTTCCATAGCTACAGCACAGTCTTACAACACTGTTGGAGCAATCCTGGAGATAGAAATCAGGTCTATCTCTACAACAGTTGTCTCCTAACCACAGAATCAATACACCAGCTGCAACTACCAACCTTCATTAATTCATAATTAAGTTACACTTGTACATGTAATAAAGAGACTACATTATAGTGGTTTACCTTTTTAGGTGATAAGGATCAAACGGGAAAATGGTTTCTAGTGATGTATTTCCGCTAGTGGGTGTGGTCAAAACAGGTAAATAACAACGTTTGTTTTCCCTCATGACAGAATAACAATAAACAATCTCATATTTACT